TAAATACGTCTTGATGTTTATAGTATTATTTCTACCAACAAGTCTAATCATTCTAGCAACTATTCAATTGTTTTCTTTGATGTCGATTTTAACATCACACTTTCATAGTTAGATTATTTTGTTTGACATGTTTTGAGTTGAAACACAGAGTGAGGTCATTAAATCAGTGAAACAAAATTTGACTAAGAAAATGTGATGGTCAAATACACATAAAAGAAAACAATGCACATCGAGCGTGCTTTGATGTGTTAGTGTAATATACAGGTTTTTGACTCGAAAAACTTTCGAATGCTGAAATAAGATTTGACTATTAAAATGTGTGATGTCAAAAGACAAATGAAGAAAACAATGCAATTTGAGAGCACTAAGTAGCAGTATGGTTTATACTACATTGACTTCACTCTATATTTCATCGTTTTAGTGTTCTGAGGTGTATTAGTGTGTAATCTACTTCACGATTTGTAGACTTCACTCATAGACACTATTAAAGACAGACGGTTAGTGTCCTTACATTTGACCCGTGAAACGCTAACTGTTATTGTGTARTACTCCAGCTGAACGAAGCGAAAACATAACTAAAGTTGATTTCATTTGACGGTTAAAGATGATCAAGCTATGAACCTATTGTTTCACCAACAAATGCTAACTAAATGGTCATTTTCATTACATGTCAAAGACTCCAGTAGTCTGGTAATTGTTTCACGGGTTAACKACTCTAATCGTCAGTATGGTCAACTGTGTTTATTATTGTCATATTGACCGATGTTTTTTATGGCTTCACTGGGTGAAGTACTGTGTTTAAGTGTAGTAGATATTTCACAATTTCTGGACAAAAACCACTCTACAGTTTACAGTTGACTGTGAGAGATAATCGACGATGCAGATTGTCCTTGATGATCGCAATGAACAAAAGATCCAAASATGTATAGAAATAAAAGTACGCTAAGTATTATGGTTAGTTGTAGCTCCTTGTTAAAGTTATAATTCTTTAAGTAATGTTTACAACATTCGCGTCCGCCCATACAACACGGACGCGAATGTTGGAAATTACTTATGAAACGTTTAGGTTTATACATTCATAATCTACTAAAAGCTTAAAGATAAAATTGAATTTGGCTGGAAAATTAGATTTGAAGTTTATGCAAATCAAGACAGTTTTGTATCAAATATTACAACAATCTTCACGGTTGTGATTTCTATTGTGTTTTCCTCAATTATTCATGAGTTTTACAATTAGCGATATACGATTAGATATAAATTTCACCTTTTCTGAAAGTTGTTTTTTAAGATATGCCTTATCTGTCGACTCACTTGTTTTGAAAATATATATACCAAGATTACAGGCAGCCTTAAGGCCCGGCCAAACGGTAAATGTTGCACGATGCAACACCATGCAACATTGTTGGATCATCAAACAAATTTGAGGCTGGCCAAACGGTTTGAAACATTGCCGTAAAACATTGCCGGGAAGACTATTATTGTCTACAAAAATACCCATAATGCGTCAAATCCGAGNAAAATAATAAAAATAAAATAAAAATAAAAAACTTCTTTATTTAAAAATAAATAACTGTTGTAGAATAGAGGTGCAGTATAGAAATTTCATGGATATTTCATTTTCTTTTTTATGTTACCTTAAGATCTTCAGTCAGGCAGGCTTGGATGCTCTTTTCTCCACGAGACGAGGATGCAAAATCATCATACATYGACAGGCGTTCCTCGTCTGATTTACTGTGAAAAGTGATGGGAGTTATACCAATAAAGAAATACATGTGGTTTCAATCCGAATAGAAGTCAGCTTGTTCTACATAATTCTTTAATCATCTTCAAGATAAAYTGATTTATTATTCATCACTCTTTCTGTCAACTACTTTAGAATAGCTGTATAATCTTCAAGGTCCGTGCAGAGTATCAAATACGAAATTTAAGGACTTTTCAAGGACTTTTTTCAGGACCAAAATTGTATTTTTAAGGAGCATCAAAATCATGCTAAATAGCCGACTTGCGAATTACGCATCAATAGTCACATAAAAAGGAATGAAGACGAGGCGCCGTGCTAAAGACAATAGATTTTTCACAAAAAAGCACGGCGCCTCGWCTTGATTCCTTTGTATGTGACTATTGATGCGTAATTCGCAAGTCGGCTATTGTACATTCTTAACTCAAAACTTCCGCTGAACTGAATAATTCAGAGATCGCTAGCGCTTCGTGATAGAGATCCAACTTTTTCAAGGAGTTTTCAAGGACTTTTTCGAAATTTTCAAATTTTCAAGGAGTTTCAAGTGCCCTTGAAAACGAGTTTTCAATTCAAACACTTTTCAAGGATTTAAGGACCTGCACGGACCCTGAATCTTATAAGAAAAGAAAAATGATAAAGAAAACTGGAAGAAAAGAGTATATAGAAAAACAAATGAAGATTAAAAACTAAAAACAATTCAACGGTCAACTTAAGCCACGTCCCCCAACCCCCGAGAATACTATCCGAATAATACTTCATTGTCCCAGTATTTCCCGCTTCTTCAAAAAATGCCAACTAAACCGATCATTTCCTTTGAATGATTTAGACGTCTCTGAATGATGCTGTTAAAAWTACCCGGCTATAATTTGCTAACTCGCAGTCCCTCCCCGAGGTTTGATGTTAATCAAGTGACTTATGTGGTAATAATGAACAAGTAGACGTATTGTTAGCAAACGACCTCACCTTGCTTTGAGGTAGAATAGGAAACGATATCCATATTTAGTATTCACGTGATGYAATGCACCTAAAAGAGCTAAGAACCGTTCTCTGCTGACATCGTGGGTTGGTAGTTCACAAATATTTCTAAAAGAAACACAAAGAAGGTTTAATGGCAACATAACTACAAGAGTTACGTCGGATTTCCGCACCATAAGGCACCTTCTTCTAAAAATGTACCAGCATTATTATAAAATACGATATGAAAATCAKAATCCCACCTGCAGAGTACGTACACTGGACCTTCGAGTGATTCTTCGACATTTCTACAAAGAGACGTTGTTACCAAATGTAAAGATATGATAATGTAGACCGCGTAGCATTGTGAAATACATGGATTAGAAGAAGTTGGAAGATATAGAAAAAAACCCTCGGAAATAAATTAAAAAAAAAACAATTTCTGGGATTCGAACCCACTCTAGTCTGTTCCCAGTCTGACCTTTCAACTCAGCTGGTAGAGTACGATAAATATAAATATAAATCCCAAGGTCATGGGTTGGAATCCTAGAGAGTTCGGCAATTAATTTTCCGAATTTATATCCAACGGTCTTTTTGCCTGGATTTATAACCTCCTTTCTAAGCACTATGTCTTCCCACTTCTTGTATTCAATGTTGTTTTTAATGCCCTTGTTTGATCTAGGCTGCGTATCCAATCCCAGCGAGGTCGGAAATTAAATTTTCCGGATTTATTCGGCCAAGTGTCTTTCGCCCGGAACCCTTGACTACTTCTATCTAATGTTGTTATAATGTCCTAGTTGATCTAGACTGTATTTACAGGCGATCACACGGTTTTGAGGCTAACACAGTTTAAAACAGATCGCTGAAAGGGTTTATTGTAATGACGTTATAGGCAAATNTAATGAACAAGTAGACGTATTGTTAGCAAACGACCTCACCTTGCTTTGAGGTAGAATAGGAAACGATATCCATATTTAGTATTCACGTGATGYAATGCACCTAAAAGAGCTAAGAACCGTTCTCTGCTGACATCGTGGGTTGGTAGTTCACAAATATTTCTAAAAGAAACACAAAGAAGGTTTAATGGCAACATAACTACAAGAGTTACGTCGGATTTCCGCACCATAAGGCACCTTCTTCTAAAAATGTACCAGCATTATTATAAAATACGATATGAAAATCAKAATCCCACCTGCAGAGTACGTACACTGGACCTTCGAGTGATTCTTCGACATTTCTACAAAGAGACGTTGTTACCAAATGTAAAGATATGATAATGTAGACCGCGTAGCATTGTGAAATACATGGATTAGAAGAAGTTGGAAGATATAGAAAAAAACCCTCGGAAATAAATTAAAAAAAAAACAATTTCTGGGATTCGAACCCACTCTAGTCTGTTCCCAGTCTGACCTTTCAACTCAGCTGGTAGAGTACGATAAATATAAATATAAATCCCAAGGTCATGGGTTGGAATCCTAGAGAGTTCGGCAATTAATTTTCCGAATTTATATCCAACGGTCTTTTTGCCTGGATTTATAACCTCCTTTCTAAGCACTATGTCTTCCCACTTCTTGTATTCAATGTTGTTTTTAATGCCCTTGTTTGATCTAGGCTGCGTATCCAATCCCAGCGAGGTCGGAAATTAAATTTTCCGGATTTATTCGGCCAAGTGTCTTTCGCCCGGAACCCTTGACTACTTCTATCTAATGTTGTTATAATGTCCTAGTTGATCTAGACTGTATTTACAGGCGATCACACGGTTTTGAGGCTAACACAGTTTAAAACAGATCGCTRAAAGGGTTTATTGTAATGACGTTATAGGTAAATGAGTTACCTATCTCTTGTGAAACATGGTACCAGAAGCTCGTCCATCAAACAGAAGTTGAGACAAACTGCTAGAGGATGCATCATGTCGTCTACATCAGAGTCATCCTGAATTATGAAATAAAATAAAGGAATAATGAAATGACTCAAATTCTAAACTAAAATGGTTGTCGATGTAAAACCAAGCCAAGCGATACCGAAAAGCTGTACGAAAATAGCCCTTTTCGCGGTAAGAAAACAAGTTGCGCGAGGAAACTGTGTGGTTTTGGAYCAAAGAGAGGCAGAATCGGGCGACAGCCCAAAAAAGGTGGTCCTTTTTTAGCTTGTTTACCCTTTTGCAGTGTCAGGAAAATAATGTTGGTGAAAGATATGACTTGGAACTCCCTATTTCATTTGAGGTCTACAGCAGACATGTTGMCCGCTTTGGTTTTAACCGCGAAAAGGTCAATTCCTTATCGCCACATTCTTCAACAATCTCTTAGTAAATAGCTATATACACAATGGCAACTTTAAATGTCTAAGCATGTCCTACTGACTGCACACACAAATGTGAACACTTTGTGTAACAGATTGTMTTGGATGGTAATGAGCGCTGGCGGTTTGTTAGTAAGTAGCCATATACACAATGACCACTTCAGTCAAAAAAATTTTAAGCAGGTCCCACGAATGTCAACATTTTGTGGAAGAGATTATGTAACACTGTCTTTAATGGTAATGATGTCGAATGGGTAATGGATGATGTTGATGACAAGTGATGGTCGTTGATTGGTGGTGACAATACAAACTGATCGATGATACATGATAGAGGTCAAAATACCCACCAAGTCGATGACTCCCGTCAGTAAATTTTCCATACATTTACATCTCATTGCAGGATCACTAGAAGACAAGAACAGAAATAGAAATA